TCTAAATCGATCCAAATCCGAAGTTTTAGAATTTTACTCAGTCATTTAAATTTTTACCCCTTAAAAACTACCCTAACTTGTCTGTAGTATTTTTTCTTATTAGTTTTCCGTTCATTTGGAGGTTGAATTTGATATAAGTTAGAGGTTTTAGAATTGAACTCACTTATTTAAATTTTTACCCCCTAAAAACTACCCCAATTTATCAGTAGTATTTTTTTTCATTATTTTTCCGTTAATTTGGAGATCGAATTCGACATAACCCGAAATTTTAGAATTTTACTCAGTTATTTCAAAATTTCACCCTCCTAAAAACTACCCCAATTTATCAGTGGTGATTTTTTTCATTATTTTTTCTGAACTCATGAGATTACCTTGGACCAGTTTCACAAGTTTCAGAATTTTGGCAAAACAATTTTTAATCAGACCCACTGTGCTGCATCGAGATTCCTTTTCATACATAACTGAGAGGAAAACATGTTCCAGAAAATGAGTTTTCCGACAAATTGTATGAATATCTTTGGAGGCATTATTGTAAGAAAAATAAATTAGATCCAATGGTTGAGATTTTAAATTCGATAAGAATGGAATATGGTAATTTTAGAGTTCAATTTTAGTTTCATATAACTTTTTTAGAACTTTTCCCATGAAAGTATTATTTTGTGGTTTGAATACGTTTAGATTAGTTTAGCAATATTATCTGCTGAAACACAATAAAAAAAAGTCGATTTAAGGCATAAACCTTGAATGATACAAATTTCAATATTTATATTTTGTCCGTAAGTGCAAATTGGTATTGTGCTACTTCTTTCCATTTACATTTATGAATTACTTTTTTTCGTAGAAGATTTCAGCTAAACTACAGTTTTTTTCTTTTTCTTTCATAATATTGTGTATTTTGGTAATGACAATTTTATTATAGTAATGTACTTCATTTATAAAATTCTTTTTTTTCATATCTCTTTTTTATAAAACTGATTAGGTATATAATATATAAAATATATATAAAGGTAAAAAAAAAAAACTGTAATTTACGGCACAAACAAATTTTTAGTTCTACACTCGGAAAGGTTCATAAAAGCTAAGAAATGAAAACAAAATATCTGGTTTCAGCTAAACGAAAATTTACCCGCCAATTTGACGATTTTGCGACAATTTTCTAAATATTGGCTTGAAACATAATTTCTTGCGTTAGTTGGAAGTGGCAATTGCTGTGAATAGATTGTCGTTCTAGTACTGCGTATTCTATATCCTTTAATCTAGTCAGTGGCGGCTGGTGGATTTAGGTTGTACCATATCTCATCTCAGTATTGGAGCATGGAACACAAGCAATATTTGAAGGCACGACTATCAGTACTGAGTGAAGAAGTTTTGCAGAAAAAAAATTTAAAAAATTTTGAGAAAAAAAAGTTACAAAAAATGCGCAGCCTCCCCAGGTTACATCTACACCATTAGTAAAATATTTGCAAACTATTTTTTTTTTCGTAATCAGAAGAAAAATTTATCACCCCGTTTTTTTTTTGGTTTTCGAAAATTTTGATATTTTGTAAAGTTATGACATTTTGAAATTTACACAATGAATAACTTAAATTTCAAAGTACATGCAAAAGCATGCGTCGTTGAAAAACAACTTTAAAACATTGCAAAAAATATAAAAATGGTGTAAATTAGTGTATATAAATTTGGAATTTTGAGGATGCTACGACGAGCCAAACTGTCACAGTAATAAAACTCGTCTTAAAACAATACCAAATTGGGGGAGCGGGTATGTTCAGCTCCGCTTATTTTTGTTTAGGAGAAAAATATTCTTGTATATAATAATGTGTCGCAATTTACTGACGGTTATTTTGTAATTTGTAATCAAATTTTCAGGGAATTTAGACAACAAAAATGAACAAAATGAAAAGAAGAGAAAGGTGAAAAATTCCTTTTTTGTGGGAGGGCGTATCTAAAAAGGTTGTCTGAAAATTGATAACGTTATGCTCCCTTATTTGTGTGATGTTGGTGGTTAGCGGACTATCAAAGAGTTTAAATTCATAATATCTTTATTATTTATCCAAATAAATCTTGACTTCCAATCTTCTACGCTCTAATGTATTGATATTGAGATAAAAGATAATATGATCATAGTTATATTCTCCTCATCAATACCCCAACGTAAATGCACAGTATCTTAAAAACCTCTTCTGAACATTTTCAATAGAGTTAATATGATGATTAGTGCACCAAATTATAGAATAATATTCCAAAATTGAGCATATTAAAGAAACGGATGCCGGTTTTTAAAAATTAATTCATATATTCTAGGTATAGTCTTACTAAACTTTAGCAATTTTCAAATGTTTTCATAATTTATACCTAGAAAATTTTTAAATTCTAATTGAACTTGGCGTGTCTAAGAATGCTCTCCTATTGGCTCGATCTCATCTGTTAGTATAGCTTCACCTGGTGAATGGTACGATATCTAGTTCGTGCATTAATTTAATTAAGAACGGGTGGTTGTTTCTGCTCTGCGATATTATGCAGACATAATATTATCATGTAAACACTTACAGAAACATTTCCAAACAACAGAAAAACAGGAATTTATACAACATAAAATGAATTTTATTTCATTTTAAAATGTTAATACATAAACTAGTTCTATCGGAAAACGTATTACAAAAAACAAAAAAAGTTATATTTTTACACTAGCCAAATTTGGTACCTTTAATAGTTATGTGTAAGAATTTTATATACACCCTGTATATAAGTACTTCTAGAAAAAATATTTTTGGACGCCCCTTTATCGTTTTCATGAAAAAAATTGTTTAGGATTGAAATTTATTTAAATATTAACATTTGCTAAAAATGAGTCTGACGCTCAGTCTCACCCCAAAGGGATAATTGACGACTTTGTTTCCGATGATTTTCAGTAGCACCCATTGTAGGCTCAAACAAAATTCCACGATGGAAAATACCTTCTTTAGTGACCCAAAATAACAAAAAAAATTAGAAAAATCGTTTGAAAATCAAAATGGCTCTCGCATGAAAGAACGCAGCTTGTTTTCGAAAACTTCTTTGGATGCTATTTAACCATCTTTAATTACACTTTTCTACTACGTTTTCCGTCTCTTGGAACTTGGAAAAAATTTTTTCTGGCATTTTTATTGAAGTATTTTCACACATCGGCACGATGCACCAGTAATATGATGATAATTTAGAAGAATTGATCATTATAATTATTACTTCATTTAAAATTTCATCACTAATAACACCACTTGTTTACATTTAATAACGTGCTTTGCTTGCTCTGTGTTTATTAGCAACTACTATACTTTCATAATAACAGTAATAATAGCCGACAGTGTTTGCGTGCGCAAGGGACTAATTTAAACTTTAATATTGAATAACTTTTGTAAAAGAAAAAAAAAACTCCTTTACACACTGTTTTTTGTATTACGTAAATATTCCAAAAATGCCAAAACTATATTTTTTGCATAGGGCCTAATGTATGACAATTTTAAACTGGCGACAGAAAAATCAGAGCTTATCTTTGAATGGATTCTTAAATTTTTAATGATTTCGATATTATTTCATGTACTTATATGAATATTATATGATGGTATATTATGGTATATATATTATTAGAGTAACTCCCAGATCCTTTATATCCTCTTGCATTACCAAATTATTAATTTTATAAGGCAAATCACGAGAAATTATCTAAATCACTTTGAAATAATGCATCAGATGGATTTTCTACAAATTTAAATAGTTTTAAATCGTCTGCAAACATCAGGAAATTGCTACACGTTATTTCCAGAGAAGAGAAGTAGTAAACAAAGAGATTAAAACAGAAGAGGGCCCATATGCGACACTTGAGGAACAATGTTGCTGTAATACACGATAGAACTATAGTCGGACTGTTGTAACTCTTGTAAGATTGCAACTTCCTTCTTAAAGAGTCAAAGCCATGAAGAATGTTATTTGGTTCAATTGTCAGCGGTACTCAAACAATTTATAATACTTCGAAATTCCACACAGGTCAACTGTTCGCTGTTGTATTGCTTGAACAGGTCCATTTCCTTTTTCGTGGGTGAAATAATTTTTCACCTTTAGTATAAATGGACATTCATCTCGAGTTAAATGTTTTGCTTTTGACTGATTCGATCAGGACTGTTTTAATATGAATACAGTCGAACATCTCTAAATCGAACCTCCTAAATTCCCCCGAGACTGTTGGAGTAAGAGAAAATTTGAGTTAAAGAAAATAATTCTAAAACGAAGTATATATCAAGGGCGCAGAAACATATTCGGGTTACAGGAAATTTCGAGATATAGAAGTTTAAGTTATAGAAGTTTGTCTGTATTTTTGAATAAACAAATTCATGATTAAGATACATGTTACCATTTCAGCTATTCTAAGTACACATGTAAGGAAAATGTAAAATGAGAAATTTATTTATAAGTTCTTCCGCAAGAATATATTATTTTCTTAAAACTTTTAGATCTTGTCTCATTTACATAAACAGATTATCTATATTAGGGATACAAAATTTTACCTGCTCAAAATCTTTTCTAGTTAAATAGGTAATTTTAATTATGGCGTTACATGATTCTAATTTGTAGTCAATTTTAGAAATAATAGAACACAAAATAATTTGTGAATGAATTTTAAAATAAAAGCACAAATATATTCATTTACTGTTTGACAGTCACTGTTCAGCAATCCTACTTTACAATCGTTCAACAAAGTCGTTTATGCATATATCTATGCACAACTGGTCTGCTGACAATTGAAAGGAATAAAATTATTTATGGCTTTGACTCTTTAAGAAGTCAACCTAAACTTTGTTCCAAGGAGTTAAGAATTAAATTATTGTATATAGTTAAATTGGTACATGTGGATTTTCCTTGAGAAAATCCATGCTGCTGATTTACAATTATGCCCTTACAACCCTATGATAAGATTTTGGTCATTAATCAGTCAAATGATTTTGGTATATCTGACTATGCAAACTAGCTTTGTGGTCGATTGGTAAGGACACTTCGCCTCTCACCCTGAAGGTCCGGGTTCGATCCCCGGTCGAGGCGC